GCCACATTTCAGCACACCCCATCCCACTCCACCCAACCCTATCCCACCCACAACCCACCTCTATCCCACCCACACCCTATGCTACCCACACCCCATCCCACCCCACCCCATTCCACCCTATCCCACCCACAGCTGTTTCAACACTAAGACCACTTCTAAGGGGGTTGTGATTATTAGGTCTGAAGCATTGTTCTGTACCTAGCCTTACTGACGAGCTTTTCTAGAACGATTTTGTTTGTTAAAGACCTTTTCTGAATCTATGAAGTAAAGATACAGATTTTCCTCCATTTCTATAAATATAACACATTTTAGTGGAAGAATGTTTAAATGTTGCATTCAAGGACTAAAACTCAGTGAATGGTGATGTGATTCCCCCTTTAATGTGTTTCTAAAATCAGTCTAATATCATGTGTTCCATGAGGGGCAGGCCTTTCTCATCAGTTCTCAGTGTTTCCCCCAGGTTGGCTATTAAAGTCAGGCTGATTTACAAAAAGAAATGGGTATGGTCACCCATTTTCTACTATTTTTATGAAATTTACTTCATCCCTAAACATCCATTTAAAAGGATAAGCTGAGCTAAGTACATTCTCTTTCAGAGATGGCAAAATCTTCCAATGCAATCACTTAGCTGTTTAAAACATGTTGAACCACTGTCTGGTGCTCCTAAGTATGAGAAGGTCACAATGTCCCCAACAGAGAAAGCACATGGCAGACACTGTGTGGCCGTCAGCAAGTTCACAATTAATGAGCACACAGCATAAATTAGCTTACATGTCCTTAAACAGAAACATTCATAAAGCAAAGCTATGAGTTGATCTGTTGATGGACATGATTTGACGGGAGCCTCACAGGGACCCAGCTTTGAATCTCCCAGAAGCAAACACTCGGAATTTGCTGACTTGGCATTTGGGGTCACTCCAAGAATCTCCACACAGCTGTGAGAACTGGCAGCTGACTGCACATGCCTATCTCCCAACAGATCCACTCCAGTCAGATGCTCAAAATAGTTTCATGCTTATGTTCCCCCAATGACATAAACTAGAGCATTTGTAGTAGCTCCGTGTGTAATAGCCTTCAAGTAAAATCTCCCGATAGCCCATCAGCAATAAAATACCTTTGGTATATTCCCAGTAAGAAGGAATAAACAATAGCACTCATTAAATGAAGGAAGTGGGTCACTGGAAGCGGGTCCTTGGGAGTAGCCTTCCATCTCTCTATATATCTGCTTCCTGTCCACCATGATGTGAGTTACTGCACCCACCTGTGCCCTCCTTGCCAGCACGGACTCAGCCCTCTGAATTCTTGCTTTTACTAACCTTATAGATGTTGCTTAGTAAAAGCAGCTGAGCCAACGGTGTGTGTGTGTGTGTGTGTGTGTGTGTGTGTGGTATGGTTTAATTTATAGGACATTCAAGAACAGGGCAAAACCAACCCACAGTGCTAGGCAGGGTGCTTACTCTGTGTGTGTGTGTGTGTGTGTGTGTGTGTGTGTGTGTGTGTGTGTGTGTGTGTTCCTTACTGAAGAGAGGTAGGCAGGCTTCATGGTCACTGATGGTACCCTGGTTTGTAACTGGAAGCTGGATGCATGGTGCTGTGGCTTGAACAAGAAAAGGCCCCAGAAGCCCATGGGTTTGAACACTGGCTCTCCACCTGCTCGGGAAGGCTGTAGACCCTTTAAAGAGGGGATTCACTGGAGGAAGCATTCAAGGCTGACAGCCCCACTTCATGCTTTCTTTTTCTTTCACGACAGTCAACACAGCCAGGCCACCCAGCCTCTTGCTCTGCTGTGTACCTTCCCTGTCGTGATGGACAGTCGCCACTCTGCAACTACGAGCCAGGATCAACCCTTTCTCCTGACCTTTAGTCGGGTATTTATAGTCACGGAAACATGGAGTAACTAAGATACATGGAGTGTCAAATTCTTGACATTAATAAGTCAACAGACAGCTGCAGGTGGCCCTTTCCTCACCTGAGACTGAAGGAATGAGAAGCCCTTACGCCCTCCACTGTTTCAGAGCCTGTGCTCTCCTTTTTATCGCCTCCTGGGCAGTCTGTTTGCTGCTGAACAACTGCCAGCAGTTTACTTAGGAAGGCACGTCCTCAGCATCGGGAAGAATAAAGGAGTTCTCTCCTACCAAGCGACCTCCAGTTACTGGCTGAGCCCCCATAATAAAAGGCAAACCACTAAGAGCTACGCAAACAGGCACTACTGTCTTGGGCAGTGTACACAAGCATGGGAGAATGCCCACACCCAGAGAAAGGGCAATCCTAAATGGGTGGATTAGAACTTGATTTGCATGGAGAGCAGATGCCCTGGAGGGAAAGGACTCCAGGTCTCTAAGGGTGGCTGGCCGTGCAGAGGCGAGTCGGGGAGGCCGGTCAGTGGAGCTTGCTCAGGAGAATGCCTTGTCACTGTCCTCCAGCTCATGGGGGTCAGGGCTATCCTCCATACTTGGCCTTTCTCCTTCCTGGAAGGAGGAAAGGGAGCTCACTTTTGTAGATTTCCGTGCAGCTATCAAGAGAATAAGGAGAACACAGGGTTTTACTTTGTTAACTCTTCAAGATTTTCATACATGTACATTATGACCATCACAACGCCCATTTTCCTCTACCTCACCCCTGACCCCCAACACATCCCCAGCTCAACTTCATGTCCTCTTTATTTCTTTTTTCTTTTTTCATGTCCCACTGTGTCTAATCATGCCACCTGTACAGCCTACAAGTGGCTGCATCCCCCAAAGAAACCAGCTAGCATTCCCCAAGTGGCCATCAACTGCCAGTACAGAGTTTTGGCTGGCTTGATCTTCTGCAGGCAACCGCTGCTGTTATGAGTGCATGAGTGCAACAGCCAGGCCCTGTCCAGAAGATGGCATTTCACAGCTCTCCTCCGTGTGTGTGTGTGTGTGTGTGTGTGTGTGTGTGTGTGTGTGTCTTAGTTAGGGTTTCTATTGTAGTGAAGAGACACCATGACCATGGCAACTCTTACAAAGGGAAACATTTAATTGGGTGGCCTTACCACTTCAGAGATTTAGTCTATTATCTTCATAATGGGACATGGTGGTGTGCAGGCTGACATGGTGCTGGAGAAGGAGCTGAGAGGTCTACATCTTGATCCACAGACAGCAGAAGCAACTACCATGCTGGGCGTGGCTTGAGCTTATGAGACCTCAAAGCCCACCTCCTCAGTGACACACTTCCTGCAACAAGGCCACACCTCCTCACAGAGCCGCTCCCTATGGGCCAAACATTCAAACACATGAGTCTATGGGGGCCATACCTATTCAAAACACCACAGTCTGTGTGTGTGTGTGTGTGTGTGTGTGTGTGTGTGTGTGTGTGTGTGTGTGTGTGTAACAATTTTCAGGAGTCAAATCTCTTTTCATCATGTGGGTCCTGAGGATCAGACTTAGTCATCAGTCTTGATGGCAGGCGTCCTCACCTGCTGAGCTAGTTTTCCACTCCCAGAGATGTTCTCGTGTTCACTTCTTCCCTACCCCAGCCAGCTAATGCACCAGACTAACTTCTCTGAATGTGTTATTTCATAGCACATGTTGCTCTTGAAAACAGACACTGCACAGAAAGGGTTTGCTGTGTAAGCTCTGCACATCTTCATCCTGATGGACCTATCGCTGGATGCCATGGACTGGTGGGCCAAAGCAGGTGACACTCTTAACTTTTCATGAGATCCCTGCGTGGGTATTTTCTCATTGCTCGTTCCTGGCCAAGTCTGTGAGAAGATGCAGTTCGCAGTCTGTATTTGGTTCCTTTGGTGCATGACAAATAGCATGCTGATGTGAACTTTTAGCGTCTTTTGGGGTAGAGAATGGCTGGGGGGCTGAGAGGTGAGAATAACTAATCCAACAAACAACCAATGAATAAAAACACAACTCTGAATTGGCCTCTGTCTTGAGTAAGTTCCTCAGAGCTACAGAGCACAGTACAGAAGGTTCCCATGCATGAAGACAAGTATGTTCTCTATGTCAACATGGATTTCTCTGCCTCATTTGGTCCTAGTCCCACTGATGGAAGCAGGTTCTTTAAGGACAAGAGCCTTGTCTGTTTTTCTCACTCACAGAATCTGACATAGGTCTGCAGACATTCCCCCAAGAAAGGAAATGCTAAGATAACCACTCTACCCTGAAAGGAGCTCCAGTCAGCACCCCGCCAGGAAGGCAGATGCTTGGAGCCCAGGGCTGGCCACCAGCCCAGCTTCCTGAACATTTCTGTGGCCAACTTAGGCAGAGCTTGGATTTGACAGCCCGTGGAAACATAGCCATTTACCTGATGCCCAGGAAGGCTCCTCTGTCCACCCAAGGACAGAACTAAGTGGATCAGAGCTTATCTTAACTTCATGTTTCTCTAGACTGAGGGTGGTGGGCCCAGACCCTTGACAATTTCTCTATAGCAGAGAAAGCTCTGCGCTGTCTCTGAATGAATGCCGTTGCAGAAAGCTGTCCATCAATGCCAGCTTTGTGGATTGGGCTGTAGATGGAGATCACCACACTTAGACACTTAGCCCCCCTCATTCTAGAGCTTCATCTACTCATGTGCCAGCAGAGACCAACTCCCTCACACTCAGAGGGAACTCTGTTGACAGGAGAACCTGCTGGGAGGCACTTGCTTAGCCACTCTGGAGGTCTGCGCTACTGTGTAGATCTCCACTGAGTATCTCTGACTCCGAGGGTAACGGTCCCACTCCCCCTATCACATGGACTCACTGTCTTTCTCTCCTTGCTGGTCTGTGGAAGGTCTGCTCTGCAGCTACCACTCCAGTTCTTCCCCCTCTTCCTTGGTTCCTCAGTAATTAATGAGTTGGATAAAATCTTTGGCATGTGTTTATTTTATGTTGGCATAAAAGCTCTTTATGGCCTTAATGTTTTGAAACTTACCTGTGGGCAGTGAAAATTCAGAAATGAATACTTTCGGGCCAGGGCAGACCCCATGCACAAGCACATACTCAAGGCTCCGGGTCCTCAGAAGTCAGGCCCTGGGTCGATGTGCATGGTAAACCTCAAGGCTAGAAACCCATTACTCTCACACTTGCCCAGAGATGTAAGGGAAAAAGAAAAGGAGGTCTCAGCTTTTCCCATCTGTGTAAAAATCACCTCCAGTCAGTCCTCTCTGTCAATTCCAGAATTCATGGCACATCAATATTCCTGGAGCAATTTGGGCCCTAATTTATAGTGACAGGACATTAGCCATGCACATTCGAAGCATACGGCCATGTCCCTTTACATACCAAGATGCCAATTAATTTTGAACATTCACTTCCAGGTACCTTGATTTACATTGAAATCCCATGTATATAGAAGAATAATGGGGGACAGGGGAAGTTGATCCGAGGCTCAAATATGCCACCTTGTTTAAGAAAGTCATGAGGTTATTTGTAACCCCCCAAGGGAATATGCAGTAAATGTGATTTGTGTGTGTGTGTATTGTTATTGCTGTTGTAGATGCCTCTAGAATCTCAAAGCAGGGTTTGCCCACCATGTCATAATTGTGTGATATCACAGTTGAATGTGAAGCGCCCCCACAAGCTCGTGTGTTTGAACTCTTGGACCCCAGGTGAAGTGCTGTTTTGGGAAGTTGTGGCTAAGAGGTAGAGCTGAGCGGGGAGAAGCAGATTTCAGGAGAGGGCCTTGGGGGTTAAGGTCGAGCCCCACTCCCTGTTCCATCTCTGTCTGCTTCCTAGATGTGACCGAGCAGCCTCATGCCCTTCTGCCATAGGCAAGAGTCACTGCTACCACTCTGCCTTTCTACCATGGTGGGGTGACCACAGTGACCTGTCCTCTCATGTCACAGAGATTAGAAAGACTACTGCACATGGTAAAGACCTTTAGGTCCCCAGGCCCTGAAGCTGCACAAACTTGTACCCAACTTTCCAGTGTCTCGATGCTGGCTTGTTCCCCAGGCATAGATCTCAATTCTATGAACACTGATTCCTGACAGAAATCCTTCTTCACTTATCCATGTGATGGACATTTCCCCCATCTCTTCATTGTTATTACCTTGAATCCCAAATTGTTGAGACAGATCTCCACATCTCCATTCAACATAAAAGACAATGAGATGTCTGCGCAAGATGAAGAGAAGGAATGCCTGGTCTATAGTGGGATCACAGTATGCCTTCCATCCCATGCTGTCGTAATCACTGCACACAGATTCAGGAGCTGGCGGAGAACAGGGGAGATAACTCAGTCAGAAGAATGTTTGCCCTGCAAGAATGCAAGCCCGAGAATCTGAGTTTGATTTCCAGAATCAACTTTGTAATCTTAGTGTGTAGACTGAAATAAGTGAATTTCTGAACCTCACTGGGTAGACAGCCAAGTGGAGCCAGCAAGATTTTAAGAACAGTGAATCACTGCCTCAAAATCTAATGTCCGTAATGAGTAAGGAAGACACCCAGATTGACACCTGACCTCCACATGCAGCGTGTACACATATGAACACAAAGACTCAGGAGAGGTTCTCGGAGTAGACTCTGGCCAAGGAGGCAGCCCTTTGCTCTACCCCAAGCCTCTGTGTAAATGCCAAGCCCCCATTCACCTTTCCAAGGACAGACACTTCCCTTCTAGCCTCCTCTCCATCTTCATTCCTATTCGTTGTTGCCAAGGCATCTCTCTCTTCACAGCCTGCAATGGCACCTTGGAGCTGCCCCAGGCTTGCTCCACTGCACCTAATTTGCAGCATTCAATTGGGACAAAGCATCATTATACATGAGCTCCACCAAGGAAGACGTGAGGAGATGTTCTCCAGAAACACATCGGTCATGGTCCATTTAATGTCAGAGGAGCGAGTGTGAAGGCGTTGTGATTATAATTATTGCTTTTGGATGCTTCCCTACTACTCTATGTAAAATATGCCATTCCCTTGGCAAAATGGCAGAACACGGGAAGGGCCCTGATTCTCTTGAATTCACAACAGGGAAAACAACACCATAACACAGAGTAATGGAGTCTCCATCAACTACAGCCCTGATCTTCACAGATGTTGCTCTCCCCTCTGAAGAATTCAGCCCAGGGGGATGTGAAGGAGCTCTCATGGCCACTGAGGATACAGGACATGGAGCCAGTGGCTACCACCCAAGAGTGTTCAGGAAGGAGGAAGTAAGGTCATGTGGGCTATTTTCGCTCATCTGCGCTTGATTTGGGGTTAATTGTCTACCCCAAATAAAAGAGAAAAACAAACAAACAAAAAGTTGAAAGGAACATCGCCTCAGAGTATGACCTTCCTCCAAATCAAGGAGTTTATAGATGTACCATGTCAAAGTGGGGTGGGGGCCCAATACAGTAGAACTGGTCCTAACAGAAGGGGAAATGTCAAACACATGCAGACATGCACAGAGTGACTATGATATGAAGGGGCCCGGAAAGAGGACTGTGGGGAGATAGGGGCAGAAGGCTGAGTTATGCCTCAGTGGCCAAGGCACTTGCCACACAAGAATGAGGATCTGAGTTCAGATCCCCAGAACCCAAGTAAAGCAGGTTCAGTGACTCACTTCTGAAATCACAGATTTCCTACAGTGAGATGGGAGGTGGGGGCAGGAGACTGCCCAAAATCAAGAGACTCCAAGCAAAGTGGAAGATGATTATGAAAACCCAAAGTTGTCCTTTGCCCTCCACATATGTGCCACAGCAAGTGCATGCCCATGCTCACATGAGCACACATATATCATTGACACACAAATATACACATATGCATCATACAGATAGATACAAACACCCAGTCTCTTACACATGATGTTTAAAAACAAGATAGTCAGGGATGCATGAGCCTTCACTAAGGCAGAGGACACCAAAGGAAACATCATGTTTGCAGCCAACATCAGAGCATGGAGACAGACCGGGATTGGTATCTCTCTTAGTTGGGGTTACTATTGCTGTGATGACACATCATGACCAAAAGCAAGTTGGGGAAGAAAGGGTTAATTTGGCTTACACTTCCTATTATAGTCCATCATTGAAGGAAGCCAGGAGAGGAACTTAAGCAGGGCAGAAACCTGGAGGCAAGAGCTGATACAGAGGCCATGAGGAGGGCTGCTTACTGGCTTCTTCCCTATGGCTGCTCAGCCTGCTTTCTTATGGCACCGGACCACCGGACCAGGGATGGAACTACCCACCATGGGCTAGTCCTACTCCCATAAGTCACCAACTTAAAAAATGCCCTAAGACTGGATCTTATGGAGGAATTTTCTCAGCTGAGTTTCTCTCCTTCCAGATGTTTCTAGTTTGAGTCAAGTTGACATCAAACTATCCAGTACAGTGTCCCCTCACACCCCCAGATGGAGCCCCCAGTTCACACCTTCATCTTAAGCTTCTGGTCTCTTCTGGAACTCTTTGAGAATAAATCCCTGTTATTCAAGCCACACCTACCATGTACTCATGGTATCTGGGAACTGGCAAAAAAAAAAAAAAAGATGTTGAGGAAAGATTGTCTGCTAAGTCCATGTATTTGATTATTGGAATACACAGCTCTTTTGTCTAGAAAGTCACCCCTTTGGCACTCAGTCCTCAGCGACCAAAGTAAACGGTTCCTAATCTGGGTACAGAGGGTCCTGGGTCTGGGAAGTTCTAATCCCACCCATCTGCACCAGTCAGCTATGGCTCTCATTTGGTCATGAACAGCACTAGCCACACTTGGTCACTGACCATGCAGAAAGACAGCTATCAAATGTCTCTGGAATTCTCATCATCCCTCCTGTCTGGCTCTAACCTTATTTCTGAGGAGAGGATGGCTGTAGACCAGATCCCCTCTCTACAGGCTATTTGAGACTACAGTGTCTACACTGGCTGAGAGTGACTGAGTAAACTCCAACATTACTGTAGTACCATCCACATGTAAATGGACTCCCTTCCAGTACCGTCTCAGTGACCATCACCAGAGTGACCATCTAGAGGCACAGAAGCAGAAGAAAGGGTGACCCCTAAATTTCCAGAAAATACTGGAACCTTGATACACTTCATCATCCATCCTTCTTTTTCATATCGCTTACCCCAAATTCACAATTTCTCAGCCCCTGATCTGTGAGTCTGTCTCCAAGAATAAAAGTCTCCCTCACTGCTCAATGGGCACTACATCTTTTTTTTCTTTTTTTGGTTTTTCAAGACAGGGTTTCTCTGTGTAGCTTTGCGCCTTTTCTAGAACTCACTTTGGAGACCAGGCTGGTCTCGAGCTCACAGAGATTCGCCTGCCTCTGCCTCCCAGAGTGCTGGGATTAAAGGTGTGCACCATTACCGCCCAGCCAGGCACTACATCTTATAACTGGTTCCACAATTCCAGCATGTGAAAGGGACTCAGTTTGGGGATCAAAATTTGAAATCACAATGGGAGTTAGAAGCTTATGTACCTGTTCATCAGGAAGGAGAGGGGAGACTCTGACAACCTCTTCCTGTTTGATGAGATTGGAACTGGAAAGCCTTTCTATCTTGTTAGAGAGGAGAAGAGAGAGAGGGATGGGCAGTGTCCTGTAAGGACAGTCAGAGAGAGCACGGGTCACTTTGTACAGTGTCCTGAGGTGTCAAATACCAGACTCAGATTTCAATCTCTGAACCCAGCACTTGCCTGTATTCCTGGGTGTCTGACCCTCCTCCAGCAGCCCCTCCCACATCCCAGTGCCTGTTCTCACATGGAACCTGTGCTAGTCAGTTCTCCTCACTAAGAGCAAATACCCAAGGGAAGCAGCAGAAAGGAGAGTTGTTGACTTTAGCTCACAGCTCGGTGGAGTAGAGCCATTTAACTTACGTTGGCCAGGGTGAGCAGCAGAGAAAGCTCAGAGACTGAGTATCACCTTCAAAGGCTCCACCAAGGTCCCTCTTCCTAAAGTTTCTACCATCTTCAAAACAGGACCATCATCCTGAGTCCAGGGGATGAACCCTGGAGTCTGTGGGGTCTTAGACACCTGAACAACAGTGCCTCCCCCAGCCCAGGAAAGCAGAGATTCTGGTGGGCTGTGAATCCACAGGGTGGAGAAGCATCATCAGCAAGCACATCTCTCCCAATGACCCTCAAACCCTCAACAAGGAGTGCTGTCTCTGATAGAAGCAAACAATCTCCACCCACAGCTAAAGCCTCTAAAGTGGAAGAGGAATTTATACCCACAAGGAATGGATTCTTCCTGTCCACCAGGAAGAAGAGGTTGACGACAGTGGAGATCTCATCAAAGGACGGGCATCTTGGTCAAGCCTTCAGGGCAAGGCTTCCTCAGGTCTGAAGCACCCTACCTTCATAGCCTGTCCCAAGGGTCTTCCTTGTGTGATCCCTGTTTAATTCACAGAGGTGAGATTTCAGCCTGAAGTTAAACAGTTCCTTTGGTTCCCTCTAGAATCTGGCGCCCAATGTGGGGCATGAACCCATGACCCTGGGATTAAGAGTCCCATGCCCCAACACTCAGGAGGCAGAGCCTGGTGGATCTCTATGAAAACTCTGCTTGGTCTACCTCCAGCGTCCAGGGTCCAGGAACCAAGAGAGCTGCACATCCAGATCTCGGGTCTTCAGAGTCCTCTCTCAGGCCTGCCTTGTAGGCATGATCATTACCGAAGCCTCAATGGGGGTTAAAACTTCCAGGTCAAAGCTAAAATGGCTACCCACTATACTAGATTCCTACTGTCTTTCAGGATTATCTCCCATACATACATACCTGCACCATTAAAATGTGCTCATTTTCTTTCTGATCTTATTTTTATGACATCTTGGAACTCTATTCCATATCTTTATGGGTTTTTTAACTTTTATCTTTAATTGACACATATTAATGTATGTGTTTATCAGGTGCCACACAATATTTTGATACATGTATATCAAAATCGAGATAAACATCTATCATTCCCATCACTTCAGATATCCATCATTTACGATGTGTTTGGGACTGCCCTAGTTAGCTTTAATTATCAACATGACACAGCTTAGAGTCATTGAGAGAAGAAGCCTCAATTAAGAAATTGCCTGGATAAGATCGCCCTGTGGCATTGCGGGAGAATTGTCCATATAGCCAATCAACTGTACCAATAAAGCAACCTTGAATCTAGGATGGAGTCAGCAATTGGTTGGCTGGGATTAGCCATAAAGTTCTTGGAAGATGTTGCAGGCAGCTAGAGAGGACAGGAAGAGACTGGGAGGAGTCTGATGGTATTTTCAGGGGCTGGAAGTTGCAGAGAATGTGGAGAAAGGGCCAGCAAATCGCTCCACTTTCTTGAGTTTTTCAGGCCTTTACCTCAATTTCTGACTCCCAAGTTTTTATTGTACTAGAACAAATTAGGTAATCCCATGGCAGCTACACCATGGAAGTGGCTGTGGGGGATTAATTTAATTATTAATTGATGTAGGAGGGTTGAGCCCACTATGGGAGGTACCATTCCCTGGGCACAAGATCCTGAGCTGTATAAGAAAACCAGCAAGCAGCCTTCCTCCATAGCTTTTGCGTTAAAATCCTGCTTGCCTGAGTTCTTGCCCTGAGTTCCCTCAATGATGGACCATGACCTGCACGTGTAAGCCCTACAAATCCTTTCCTACCCTAAATTGCTTTTGGTTATGGTGTTTGATCACAGCAGCATCATGCATTTGCATG